TCACTTTCAGTATTTAGTTCTCAGTGATGTCATGGCATTTGTGAACTTGATGCTGTGCTAATACTTATCAAGAATCAGTAGAAGTACCTTGAGGACATGACGCTAAGTGAAATAAACCAGACACACACACACATACACACAAAAATACTGTGTGATTACATTGGCATGAGATTTCTACAGTAGTCAAAGTCATAGAAACAAAATAGAATGGTGAATGCCAGGGTCTGGGAGGAGGAGGAAATGGGGATATAGAGGTGTAGTTTTGCAAGTTATCATTTTGGAGACTGGACGTACAACAATGTGAATGTACCTAGCACAACTGAACAATGAATGCATTTAACAATGGTTATGATGGCAAATTTTATATTATATATGTTTTCCCAATTAAAACTTTTAAAAAAATTAAAATAGGGCTGAGAGTATAGCTCTGTGGTATAAATACTTCCCTAGAATGCTTTAGGCCCTGGGTTAGATCCTCAGCACTTCAAAGAGAGGGGGCAGGGTGGGGAAGAGAGAAAGAGAGTGAGAGAGAGAATCTTTCTATGTTATGCTCTCCTGTATTTCTGTATTTCCACTTTCACTCCATTTGCTCTTAAAAGAGTGTTGTGAGAGTTAATTTTTATGCTCACTTTATCCAATATTCCTTGGTAGGAGAAGACATGAACCTGTCTTCTGGCACTGAAAAGCACATTGTGCCAGAATCTTCATCCATCCACTTATTCCTTCATTTACTCACTTATAAAGGACACCTGTGTTCTTCTACCCTGAGCCCTTACATTTGTGTTAAGATGACTATTTTCCCAGATGGACCATAGTTGCTCAAGGGCAAGACTTACACCTGCTTCATCTCGTGTCCCCAGCCCCCAGCTGAACTGCAAGATGTCCTAGTTTCAGCTGAAAGTCAGGAATTAGTGTTGAACACTCAGAAAGTCCTTTCCTCTGTGCTTTCTGTGTATGGTAGGGAGAAGAGGGACTTCAGGGTCTCTTTGACTGGGTAGACAGTTTCCCAAGTGGAAGGAAAGGGCCCCATTTGAAGTTTAACTCTCACATTACCTACTTCCAAGAAGTTTACTAGAGTTGTTCTTTCCATATGTCTTTATTTTACTTTTAACCAATTAAGAAACATCTCCATTAGTCCTGGAGTAGATGCTCACAGTATGTCAATAAATGTTTAGCAAAACTTGCAAATGTCTCTCTAGTTCAAGTTATCTGTTTAGAACGAAGAGCTTTGAAATTTTGCTTCCATAGCTCAGCCAGTGGGAGCTCATTATTCAGTTTGGTGGCAGGCTGGAACTCTGATCTTGGTTTCCTCTTTCCAAGGCAGTGTTGTCTTCTAGGAGCATTTCAGCTTATCACCTCCTCATATGCCTGCCTGCATGCATTTGTGTTCAAGTGTGGGGTTGAGTTACATTCTCTGCTTGAAAGTTGTTTGGCTCCTCTCTGATCTCTCATGACCTGTAGTCATTCAGGGACTTGGGGATGGATTTCTATCTTCCAAGTTGCTTAAGATCTCTGAAACCAGGAAAGGTTAGAGCTTAATAGGCTCCAGAGCTCTGCCTGTTGATCCTCTTCTTTCTCTTTCCCGCCTCCTCATCCCCTTCTTTCTTCTCCTCTTCCTCCCCCCTCCTTTTCCTACCCCTCCTTCTCCTCAGCACACTGGATTTGTGAGCCTGAGTCCCTGGAGCAGTAGGATGATGCTTGGAGAGGAGTGCCAAGTAAATGTTAATGAACCAGCAGGTTCCCATTGGAATGTCTTTCAGGGATTTCAGACTTGTTTTGACAAATTAAGCCCAGCATCTGGATGGCATTTGGTTGAAGAACCATCAATAGATGCTCACTGATCCCTTGGTCGATCTGGCGGGCATGCATCATTTTTCTTAGTATTCTCAAAGCAACCTTGGTTCTACTTCTCTTCTCTAGGGTATATTTTTCTATTTCATTAACTTCTGTTCTGCATTATTTTCTTTCTTCTACAAATATTCCTAACTTCTTAATATGAATCTTCATTTGTTAACTTAAAACTTTCTAGAACGTATTGTTTTCTTTCTCCTGGGGATTGTCACATTCATTGGGATCCTTCTCTTGACATAGTGCCATAGATGTGTCGTGTGGGCAATCAGCTGATGACTTAAAGATGAGCTCATTGACCCTAATCTCAAGAGGGTTCTATTTAAGGAAGGAGAAAAGACAGTGTCGGTTAAATGTTAAATTAATAACCCAGTAGAACCAACTGTAAGACTTCAAGGAAAGATCTCAGGGGGAAGTTGACCAGGAGGAAGGCCAGCAGGGTCACAATCAGTTACCCACCACGATTGAGGAAAGACCTTTTCCAATACAAGTGGACTGTGAGGTAAAAAGCTAGAGATGGTGGTCAGGACCTCAGAAATTGGAGACTGGCTGACACCCAAGAGCATACTTGGGAGGCTGTGAGGCATCAGTGGAACACCTGAGCAGCCCCTGCAAGGTTAGTGAGGTCAGAGAACAGGGGTCTGAGGAGTCAGGGAGAAAGCGTGGGAGAGGAAAGGTGAGCAAGACCACTAGTCAGATGACACAGAGAAACACGCAACTTTCCATCCAAACTTCCAGGTGGGGACAGGAAGGATGCAGCTATACATGTTGCATTTGTGAGCACTTCCTGGGTCAGGCAGAGGTAGGTCCATTTAGCAATGACTTATCTCCATGACAAAACCATGAGTCCAACTCTAGATGGAGAGATCGAGGTGAGACCTTGCTTGAGCCCGTGGGGCTGAATCAGGACATCCCTGGACTTTCTGAGCCTGTGATTGCTTTAACATACCTCTCTGTGCCAGGCCTGAAATGTCCACATGAGACAGTGGGACCTCCTCCTTCCAGGTGCTCCCTCAACAGGTGGATACAGTCCCCAGATACAGTCCCCAGAAAAGCAGATCTAAGAGCAGTGTCCAGGGACCCTGTCACTTTTTTTACTTGCCCTTCTTCCAGGAAACCTGCCAGGCCTGGAAGGGAAGAGTTGACATCATCCTTTCCAGGCATTCCCACAGCACTGAGAGCCTGCTCACTCTGTTCACTTCCTCCAGCTGCAATGACTTAGACCCTCAAGTCCTGGGAAACACCTCTTCACCTGTACCAGGACAGATGAATTCTATCTAAAGAAAGAATAGAATTCCACTTCAGGAGAGACAATAATTTTAGAAGGGGATTTTCTTAGGGGGATAAGGAGACCTGAACTTTGGTTAGTCTTCAAATCCTGCCTATCCAGTGTCTTCCACCTCCACACAGATGACCCTTGCCCTTGGCCAGGCTGGACCAAGAGTTCCCTCCCCACTACCTCAGGCCTGAGTCCTGCCAGGACATCTCCAATCCCAAAGAAATGAAGGCTCTTTCCCGGGACTTGAGTGCCTAGGAGACTCATCCACAGAGGAGATACCTGCTGAGCTTCCTTCAAGGGCCAAGTGTGTGTGAGTCCCAATTTCCTCATCAGCAAGCACAAGGCTTTCCCACAAATCCCTGCCTCTCCCAGTAATCACTGCGGTTCTCTGAGCTCATGCCATTAAAGTCAGAATTTTCCCCATTCTGCCATCTCTGATCTGCTGAGAATTCATTCTCCTCTCCTCTCCTCTCCTCTCCTCTCCTCTCCTCTCCTCTCC